TGACAACTTAATTATGGCAATGAAGAATTAATATTAGCAGTCAACGAAGTCGAGAACTTGATAGCAGAGGAGATTCTTTCCGTCTCAACACCAGCAGGGTTTTTCTCACAGCGACAATATTTTGTCGTAATAGACGTGTTATCGCCCACCTAATTACTCTACACTTAGTTGACTCATATTAAATTTAGTCGGCATGGCGTGTGAAATAGTAAGAAACTCTTCCTCCTCCTCCTCCTCTCTCTCCTCCCCTCCTCATACTCCTCCTCCTCCTCCTCCTCCTCCTCCTCATCCTCTTCCTCCTCCCTCTCCTCCCCTCCTCATCCTCCTCCTCCCTCTCCTTCCCTCCTAATCCTTTTCCTCCTCCTTCTCCTCCCTCTCCTCCCCTCTCCTTCCCCTCCGTGCTCTCACGTTAGTGTCACCCACTCTACGCGAACGACGGCCAATCGGTTAAGTACCTACCGCTAGCCAAAAATTTTGAAATGACGAGAAATGACAGAAATGAGAAAACGAGCGCGGGAATTTTTTCTTTCTCCACATCTGCTGCGTCTAGCGTCGAAATCACGTGGAATGTGACGCTGATACATATAGTCAAGAGTCCCTAATAGGAAATTTTCTATTATGGATTCTTGATACAGTACATTATATATGTCCATGGTGTGGTAGGGGTGGGTCTGAGACAAGGCTTTCACGGATAAGTGACCAAAAAATTCCGTTAGGTTTTTTTTCGGTTTTTTGGTTAGGTTTTTTTTTTAATTTTGCTCCAAAATCTAGGTGTGGCAACTGCCCCTTGCCTAACCTCGTCCATGGTTTGCCTTCGTCTCAATCACAGAGCGAAACGACTAGAATTCAACAGCGTGAAATGATTAGTAACAACTCAATGACTACAGACGAATACAATGTAAAATAAAATCATATAAAAATATAGAAAGCTAGGTGCATGTAGAACCTATGTATAAATCATAAGTAGATTATGCGCCGAGCGTTTAAGTAGATCGTGCACGATCGGATGCTCATTGTCGATACATCCACCGACGCATCAACAAAATGCTGCAGCGTGTGATATACAGTGTCATCGTGCGGCTGGCTACTGTACGTGTGGAGCTTTCATTGTGCCAGCTTTCTCACTGCCTCTCCACTGTCTCGTCTCCACCATTCTACTACTATCTCTCTCGCTACCTTATTCGCGTCATACGTTACCTTAGAAGACATGTAATAGCTTGCATATTGTGTAATGTCTTGTGATCTTATATATAATATCATCGACATTATGTGTGATGTCTTTCTTGTCATTGCATTTTCACATCTATACAATTTTTTCTCCGTCTCTCTCTCTCTCTCTCTCTCTCTCTTTCTCTGCCACTCTGCCTCTCTTTCTCTCTCTCTCTCTCTCTCTCTCTCTCTCTCTCTCTCTCTCTCTCTCTCTCTCTCTCTCTCTCTCTCTCACTCACTCGCGCGCGCTCTCGTTCTCACTCGCGCACACACTCTCTCTTTCTCTCTGCCTCTCTGTCTCTTTCGCTCACTCGCTCCCTCGCTTTCTTTCCCTCCCTCTCCCTTTCTTTATCCTTCTATGACCTTATCCTAAACGCAGAATGAATGTAAGCGCGACAAAATATTCTAATCACTAGCGACGCCATCTTTGTTCGCCGCGGTTGCCATGGCAGCATCGCGCGCACCGCTCCGGATGCGGAAGTTACGCACCACCGCCACCACGGGCGGAGGTTACTACCACCACTACTACTACTATTCCTTGAAGCAGGCTGACTCGTAGTGCTTGCTCAGGTAAGACTTTAGCGCAAACTGCTTACTGCAGCGCTTGCACGCGTACGTCTTGTGCGACGAATGCGTCTGCATGTGCGCGCGCAGGTTCGAGCGGTCGGCGAACGACTTGCCGCAGTGCGAGCACGCGTACGGTTTCTCGCCAGTGTGGCTGCGTCGGTGTCCCTGCAGCAACCACGGCCGACTGAAGCGCTTGCCGCAGACGTCGCATTGGTGGTCGAGTTCGTGCGTGAGAAGGTGCATGGAGAGCGCAGGCATACTGACGTAGGTCTTTCCGCACTTCGCACATTTCTTCGCCTGGTTGCTATCGATCTGCCGGTGCGTCTGTCGATGGCGGCTGAGGTTCGACGACGTTGCATAGTGCTTGCCGCACTCGGCGCACGCGTAGCGCGCCGCCTGGCGGTTGTCGGCTGCGATGTCGACGAGCGCCACCTGCTGGCGGTTCGTCTTCTTCTTGCTGCGGCCGTCGCTGATCAGGAAGGCTTTGTAGACGTAGCCGTCGGCATCGGCGACGGTCGTCGGCGCGGCGGCAGCGGCGGCGCTGTCGTCGTTTTCGCCGCCGCTGCTGCTGCTGCTGCCGTTGCTCCGTCGCGAGTCTGGTTTGCGTTTCGTCGCGCTGCTGCCGACGACACAGCCGACGACACCGCGCTGCGACTTGAGCGCACTCAGCGCCGCCGCCGCCTCCCACTTCCGCTTCAACGCGGCGTCGTCTTCGTCGACTTCCGGCCAGGCGCTGCGACCTCCGACGACGGACGACGACTCGTCGGCGGGAGACGTCGGCGTCGCGGCGACGCGCGGCGACGTCTTGGGCGTCGTCGTCGTCGTCGTCGTCGGCGGCGGCGGCGGGGGCGGCGGTCGGTCGGTTTTTGTCACCTCCCGGATGTAACCTGCAGGGGGGTGAAAAGCGTAGGAAGGTTAGAATCGTGACGTCACCGTGGTGACGTCACGGCGATGACGTCAGCGCTCTAGCAGGAGGATGTGCGAGAGGATGAGATGGTGCGTGCTTGTCGGCTGTTCTATTTATTATCGTTGTGTTTATATATAATGTTATTGAGTATATCGAACGGCGTATGCGCCGTGGGAGTAGTGAGAGAGACAGACAGAGTATGTGTGTGTGTGTGTGTGTGTGTGTGTGTGTGTGTGTGTGTGTGTGTGTGTGTGTGTGTGAAAGAAAGAGAGAGAGTAAGGTACAAACGGGAAAGCGAGAGAAAGAGAGGGAAAGAAAGAGGGCGAGAGAAAGAGGGAGAGAGAGAGAGAGAGAGCGCAACAGAGAGTGTAGAACAAAGAAATGTGCCCAGAAAACCAAGGTAGGCCCTACTGTACAGATGTCTGTGTTCAAACCCATCCGCCAGAAACTGATGCACCTAGTTGCGATCACATAATACGACAGTTCGCCATACTTCGCAGGAAGCTTTCCGTACAGAAAGCAGGCTAGCACTGCGCATGCGCTAGCTCTCCTCCCCTTGCATACATATCTGATCACAACTCTGATTAACTATTGATGAGGAGAGAACTGCAATCGCTTCTAACTCATTATCGATTGCTGATGTCTGGCCGGTTGTTGTTGCGCGAAACCTGGCGAAATGCAGGTGAATAGAGAAAATCCGACTATATGTATATAGACTACTGATTATATATATATAT